TACCCAGTTTGCTCCATGGATTGCTGCCTCCCAAAGATCTATCTTAACGTTAGTCTTCCCAGTGGTCCTCTTGATTTAGGTTCCCAAACCAATACGTTGTAAACAAACCTTTCGTCCTCAATGCGTACCACATGTCCCGCCCATCTCATCCTCTTCGACTTAATCAACGTACAATATCAGGTTAGGGGTACAGGCTGTGAAGCTCATAATTACGCAATTTCCTCCATGATTCGTCTCCCCCTTTTAGGTCCAGATATCTTCCTCAACACTCTGTTGTCAAAGACAATCAACTTATGTTCCTCCCTCGCTGTCAGAGACTATGTTGCGCACCCATACAGCACAACTGGCAAAATTATACTCTTGTATATATCAATCTTAAGTTGTCTTTTGACGTGGAAACGTCTTTAAAATCGATGCCGGGTGTGGGGAGGCAATCGCGCCCAAATGAGCGATAGTTTCTGTCGAAGTAATTTCAAACTTCAATAACTCGGCTACAAATAGACATAGCGCCGCCATCTTAGTCTCGTTTTAAAGAGGAAGGATTAAAGTTTGTGGCAATACCGCTCAGAGATAGTTATATTAAGCTGTGGGCCACAAAAACCCAGCGTTTGACAGGCACGGTCATCCGTATAGAGAACACAACTCAGAAAGTGGATTAATGAATCAAAGTTAATGTATTCCCATGTTGTAGTCTTATGGGTTGTGATGCCACGTGGTCTTGTAGGTGGTCACCAGTGATCCTCTGGAACGCCGGTAACCACGCGCAAGATAATGCAGTGCCATAACACACAAGACCAAGATATACACCTTTGCTGCCATGAGAACCTCGTGTCTCAGGTTCCGTAGTGTAGTTTTTTAGCTGGCTGTTACTTTATGTCGTAGGTTGACGTTGTTCTACAAGACAAGGACCTTCACGTAGAGACAAAACGCGCAACTGGACCAGGTGGTCAGCATGTGAACAAAACTGAAAGTGCGGTGAGGATAACTCATCTGCCAACAGGTGAGAATTGAACGTAGTCTTTGAAAATGCGGAAGAAACTCCATTTCTGGGCTATGAATTAAACGATTCAAAACAAAACAAAATTTAATTTCAATATACTATACACGATTGACGTTTTTACTAAAATAACTGCGGCACTGTCCGACACTGCCTATCAATTTTTTTTATGAGATTAGAAAATTTTTTTTGGACGGACTGATATCAAAAAATCCTTGAATTTAACCTGCGCTTGATTTCTCCATGAACGTCATTCTTACTTGTTAGTGTCGTTCCGAAGTACTCGAATTTTGTCACAATTTCGAACTGCTCTTTATTCGTCCTTATACACCGGTTCTGTCGAGAATTCTGATGCCCGGACAAAATCATGTACTTTGTCTTTCCTGCACTTGTTTCTAGAGCAGCATCCTTACGAGCCCTTAAGAGTGTTTCTGAGTTTGCTTTTCTAGTGTTTGTATTTTCGCCCACTTACTACCATCAGCATAGACCAAAAACTAATGTGTCTCATTCAAATCCAAATCGCTCTGATTTTCTTGGACTTTCCTGATAGCATATTTCAAGGCAACATTAAAAAGCAGCTGCTGTAGATTATCTTTCTGTATCAGGCCTTCCTGCACAGGAAATGTATCAGACAAATGTTTACCTATACGAATTGAGGTTTTACTTAAACACGTTTTAATTAGCCTGTCTTGTTTCTAAGTTATATCAAATTTAAGGAAAATATTGTAATGAGTTTCTCTTTTAACTGAGTCATAAGCTTTCTTGAACTCTACAAGTAGCAGATGGATTGTCCCATTCTTAAGGCGTAATTGCTCCTGTAATGAAGTTTCAATATCTGAAGTCGTGACCTCAGGACTAAACCGTGAAACGAATAGGGCCATAGACCTCTCTTTCTTAGAAATTACAGGCAGGGAGTCAGGGTTACGCCGGCACAGTGGCCACGCGGTCTGAGGCATGGACCTCGGTGCGCCTGACTGCGACCGTGGGTTCGAGTCCCACTCAAGGCATGGATGTTTGTCCTTGTCCTTTCTCTTCCAGTCTAATGGATAAAGAATGGCCACGGAAGGCAAGGCGAAACCACCGTGGTACTTCCGCAAGAAAACCACGAAAGTGATCACGACTGTCAAGCTGATCATAGACGATAAAGAAAATGTCTGATTTACGGACCCCAATTAAGGGCTGTCTACGTAGCTTAGTCGTGTTGACCACCGGGGTACCTGAGTTGGGCTTCCATTTGCGATTTATCGTTACGAAGCCTTCAGTTTCCACCTGCGTTGAAGACGCCTTAGATTGTAAACCCGTGTGTGCGACGTTATTGTAGGAATTAACGCCCTCGTCAGCAGCACAGGTCGTAGTAGAATTGTCTGATGGCACAGCAACTTTGCGCGACGGAATGGTTGAAGATCCTTAGCCTGTTGATTTAGAACTATCCGCAGAGTCTACAGGAGCATTGGTAGTAATACTACTGAAATGCTGCTTCAAATATTCGTTGTCTTTTCCAGCTGCTGCACATCCTCAGAAAGTATCAGGACCAACTGCACTAAATTTTCCACGAGATTATTCGTGTTAACTCCATTGATCCTCACCATTTTCAGCTTACCAATGAGAGAGTCAGTATCCCCAATGTCTGGCAAAATCAGTTCCTTTTTAGGAAACTCCGAGGCAGAGGCAGAACGCATGTTCCGTGGCGGTGTATTTTCACCTATAACACCGCGAAGCGCCTTGACACACTTTGCACACTTGTAGGTGGCAACACCATCAGACATAAAGAATTAATGATCCACTTCAGGCATTTTCAAGCAAGTGACATGGAAACGCGAAGCACATGGCCCACAACATCTAATATATTTCTGCTTTCCGTAGAAAGCCTTCTTGCACACCTCGTAAGTATCCCCGCGAGCAGTTATTGCGCCGGTAGGCTGCAGGTAGTAGATTCCTTTATAACTGCACCACGCACTAAACAGACACAGCACGGAGCACTAGCAAGGCACGTTCGCTCACTACGAAAGCTCAATCATGACTATAATTTTAATACAATTTCTGATACTTATAAAAACGTATGTAAGAACAGTGACAATAGGAGGGCCCTTCTGAACACAGTAATGAACATTCTGTTTCCAAATATAGAGAGAAATTTACTGACGACCCGAACAATTGCAGTGCGTTCACTGATAAACTTGAATGAAAATGTAACCTCCCGCCAGAAAGTGATTTCATTGTTTTTATGGAGTGATATTTTACCCGTGTCAGGAAAATCTTGTTGCCGAAGCGGTAAGTCGTACCTTTCTTAAATTTTATAAGTGAACGCAGTTGGATTCTGTCGAAAGACTGTGCTCTATAGAGTTAGTTACTCTCTAAATAATTTTCTTATATCTAAGCATATAAAGATTTCCTAAAGCTGTGTATGGTCTCAGAGGTGTCTAATTAAATAATTTGTGTGGTAATAGATGACAAACCATATCATAATGTGAGGTATGAGGTTCTAACAGCGTAGAAAATGCCTATGCTGTTCTTCTGAGATGTGACTTCGTTTAGACTTGTGGCTATATACTAACGTTTTGGAGGAACGTATTGCCTCCGTATTTATAGCCCACGCGATGTTATCCCCAGAGTCCTAACACCTACATACAAAAATATCTTCAGGATATCTCTCTGTAAAATTTATAATATAAAACTACGTCAGCGCTCAAATCCCGTTCAAACGACGGCGATAGGTCGTAAGTCCATTGCATTCCAATAAGAGCTGAATTATATACAGACCAAATCGTGTTCATGATATAACCAGGGCTGTTTTAAAGGCCCAAACAAGACCAGGGTTGCAAAATGCACACAGCAGTGCTCTGAGTGCTTTCAGGGACTTCAGATATCCATCGTATCGTTTCCAAATATACTATTTGAATTTTCAAACACTTCCTAATGTTTAAACTAAATATTAAACATCAAACAAACCTCCTATCTTTGAGTGTTACTACAAAACATTTTAAGTTATGTGACGGTGTTTGTGATATTACAAGTACGAACATTTGTATCGAGATTGGCAAAATATACAAAAGAGTATGTGAAAACGTTTTATATCTGAAGAAACGTCTCTATGGACATTGACACCTATTACTGAGCATTGATTTAATATTTAATTCAGAATAAATAACATGTGTGCTTATCACCATGCGCTTTAACAAGAATTGAGTCCTAGGAATGTAAGCTAAGAGCGATCAGGTTGCAAAAATACATTGAAAGGCATTGGCTTGAATAACACGGACACGTTCTAGGTGTTACATAAAATCACTTTACGTTTTTAAATGCAGGACTTAACTATAAACAGCTCACAAAATGTATGCTTTAGGTAGTGGCAGCTGATTTCAATCTGACTTTGGGTTCGTCGCTTGAGTTTCATTTGTCTCAAATAAATACCGGGGCGGAGCTCCTGCTATCAAAAACCCCGATGGCATCCAATGTACACTTATCGCTTCAGCCACAAGAACAAATTATTTGGTCAAATGTACGGTATTTTCTGAAAAACACCGCGAAATGAATATTTACATTTGTATGTTTACATTCATTATGTATGCTCAGTCAAAGAAAGATTAAGTACTAATTCCTATTTGAAGGTAAGGTATTTAATTTCGCTTCTTTGCGCTATTGTCATAAATCATTTTGTGTCTCTATCAGGATATTTACAAACTATATGTGGTGCCACCGAAGCACCACGGTCCTGCCCTGGTCCGTCCTGACAGTCCTGGGCAAGAACAGCTTTACAATTTATTATATTAGATCCGTTTATCATTCTTTACTCGTATTGTAATTGATACCTTTGAGGCCATTAAATGTCTACGCTTATGGGCTCAGTTGACGTCATATCACATAAACTTACATAGCAGGTGGTCAGTCGTTTCGCTGTACCGTGAATGAGAAAGCATGAAAAATACAAGACGTATGAATTTAAGACTTTCTACCTGCCTTGATAGGGAAGCCAGAAATCGTAAATGTAAGACACCAATCTTACCTTGAGGATCGCCATTGTGATGTGTAACAAGTTTACTAGAAGTTGTACACCTCGCACAGTTTCACCACACAGTGTCCCTCGCAGTGGCTTAGCGTTGCCTTCTTATAAAGAAGCGACACTCCTCTGCCACAGTTCGGACATCTTCAGTTTCTCTTGTGTCTTCTCTTCCTCTGCGGATGTCTGGTCAGTGTTGAGGATCACCTAGCCTGCCGAATCTCACCCAAAAAAAGATGATTTCTATGCCGTTTCTGATCTGAAACTCTGTTACAACTGTGTCTGCCCTTCAGTCGCCTTGCAGAATATCACTCCCTTTCTGAGTAGAGAATATAATATTTTACTCTTAAAATTATTTGCTACCTCTACCTCTTTCCATCTTTGTTCAAAAGAAAAACCACAACGTTTTGGAAAGATGATCTGTTTTCGAAACGCGGTTTTCCTTTTAAAGAAATATAATGGAATAAGTACAGATATTGAACAATTTTAAGTGTGATCCACCATCGCCAGAATGCTTTGGAGCTGAATAATTTTTATTGTTGATAAAGTTAAAGTTTAGCGCCATAATGCATAAAATTCCAAAACTTTATACTGCAGACACATGATTTGCCAAGTTTAATATTTGTATTTTTCCATATTTTGCCAAATAACCCAGGTCTCCTATGGCCCCAAACTTGTAAGACATGCCATATAACACACAATAAATGTACGTGTCGTAAATTATTGTCGTGCGTGTATATAGTTTTTTCCAAGTGTTTTACTTTTCCATTGGGTGTGTGTAGAGCTCAATACAATTATATAGCATTGTATTAACCAGGAAAAGAATAGCTCTCATATTATTCTGGGCAGTTGATTTCGTCTCATTTGTGGTTTACTTTTTCCGGAGCCAAGCATATATATATATATATATATAAACTTCTTTCATTTAGAAATTCAGATCAATAAATTATTAAAACGTTGCCAATTCTGAAACTTTTTACTAGTCTTTAACTAAGAATCTCCTTCTACGTCCTACAACATCAATATAATGTGCACAGAAACGCAGAAACACATGCTCCAACCTGCAGCAAAAGCATTTTCCAAATCCGTTCTTTCGGATCCTTCATAGTTCGTTGAACTTAACGTCCGTTTATTTCAGATAAAGACTTAAGTACTGTAGCACTACAGTGATTACACCTCTCAGCGTCAGAAGTATTTTCTTTTATTGTAAGAAAATTTTGTTTTATAATAACAGATCTTTTTTCTGAAAACAGACGAATTTAGATTTCAGCTTCACCAATGTCAGTTAAAATTAAGAATACATATAACTGCTAGTATATAATCACCAACGCAAAAATGTAATTGAAATTCGCCAAGTAATTTTGGTTAAAGACAGGTCTGTGTTAAAATTTATGATAGGTTTTCACTCGCAATATGAACTCTGACACACCGGGCATAGGTTCTTATGAGAGTAGCTGAAGGTTTGAAATTGCTGTCAGACACAAACCATGATTTTGTGGAGTAAAGTCTTTCTTGAAGAGCTAATAGTCGCTCAGCTAGTAGAGAAACTTCCATCCTTCTATGGAACCCAAGTTTTTATTGAAGTTTATTGCCCGTAATGAGGCTATCGCGAGCCACGTTTATAAATTCCACTTATTTTTATCCCTTATTTCGATCTTCTTTAAGATACTTTCATCTTTTATTGGTTTGTACAAGTGATGTTATGCTAAGATTTTGAATTTCTCATGCCAGCTAATTTCGAAGAGAATGTGGTAGAAAGCATTAAAAATAATTCGACAATCCTCTTAGAGACTGCAGTTCCATTGAGACATAGGCTCACCCTTCCATATCAAGAACAAAATTAAGGACTTCCAGTTGTCTTCTAATTATTTTATACGAATTTTCAAAAGACTGGATATTTAAGACATTACTTGTGTTCTATGACATGTGCTGCTAGTACTGTCATTTTTCTGTCTTTCTGCAAAGGGTAAATGAAAGTTGAATACCAGACCCTGTAACTGGATTCTTCTCAAGTCAGTTCACAAACTTGCAAACCATTTTCTTTCTAAAGCTTTTAAGGCATTTACTGCCAACAGTCTGTAGGAATTTATTGTCTCATTCGGTCTATATACACACCTTATCTTGTCCTTGCTTATTAAAGTGTCAATAATATACCGGGCAAATTATGTACGCCAAGAAGTTTTGTTGTTGTTGTTGTTTCTTCCAAACTCTAGTCCATTCATTTCTCTTACTTAAAATTCCACAGCAGTTTTCTTAAAGGCCGCTGATGATGGAGATAGTAAGTACCTCCAAAACGGCAGCAAATGTTTACCAGACTGTACAGCCGAAACCCACAAGATCGTCACCGTCATACTCGCCTCCACGTGAAAATAAAATCTCGTACTTTGAAGATGAAAGCGATATTTTCCGCCGAAACGTTA